TAATTGAGTGTAAATTGTTCATAAACATATGCCATAATTAAAATGAAGAAAAATGGGTAAATCATTAGTTAATGTCCTTGGAAAAATACATGACATAGCAGAAAAACCATTTTGAAGCAAGCAAATCCAAATTAATGACAGAAGTACATTAATTACTTCCAAAGATAACCCAGAAACTGAATTATCAACATAGTTGCTGATTAACTATAACAAAATTAAGATCCATAGCGAATTTAATTACGAAGAAGGCATTATCTCTCACTAACTACAAATCTCTCCCATATGTACATATAAGCACAAAAGAAAGAAAACAACCTGAAATTGAAGATGCTTTCTTGAGAAGAAACTGGACAACGATAGCTGTATCGACTTTCATGGGAAAAAACCAGCAAAAGGAAGTGGAACCATATAAGGACGGCTTACTAGCAGTGGAGCTGGACCGTTCTGCTGAATCACTATTCCAACTGCTTCAGCCACAGCCTTGATAAATTCCACAGCCATTTTCACCAGGGCTATGCACATCTCTAATCGTTGTATCACCATCATGTACTGTCGCTAGATCTCTTCTTCTTTTCCCCGCGTCCCTCTCCCTTTCTTTTCAAATTAAACGAACCGATATATATATACTAGCACAAGAAATGGCTTCCCTATTACCTCAAAGGGAAAAGAGAGAGAAAATGACTACCCTTTTTTAATTTTTGAAAATAGAAGATAGCCTGTAAGTCTATTTATACAAGAAGCTAGCTCTCCCTCTCTGTCAATCTATCTATTTCACAATACTATTGACAGTTAAAGACAACCATTGATGGGGGAATATATTGCGACGATGCATATAATTACTCTAATTGAACAAGAGAAGGTGCCATAAAGTTATCCAGTTCTGGGTGCCCTACAAGCTTCAACAAATAGCTGGGATGAAAATGACATGATTTTTATGCTCCTTTGGCCTGAAGAAATACGGGGCGAGGAAAATTTTGCCCCCAAACAATTATAAATATTCAAATCGAGTCCTTCACCTATTTATTATTATAATTGAGTCCTTCATCTATTGAGATTATGCTCATTTAACCCTCACTATTATCCAAAGTCCATGTATCCATTAATTTTGCACATGCCTTCAATTTTACTGCAAAATGAAGACTCCTTTTTTCATTAAAAATCAACCCCACTTTTTATTAATCTTTTTAACGCCTAAAAAAATTAATTTTTAAAAAAAATTAAATAACTCATGAGTAACAATAAAAGTCTTATGTATATGATCTTTAGCAACAACACGTTTCAAGGAGCATCAGTTTTTACAATAAAACTAGTTAGATCCAATGGCACGTGCGATTCATGTGAAATATTAATAGGTCTCTCAACTGTAGATAACAATGAGTGGTTAATAGAACCAACTTTTAATAAGTAAGAACTCAATTGAAACAAGCAATAGATAGAGGACCTAACGTGGTTATGTATAATATAGTTGGGGGCAAATTATCCTTCCCTAGGAAAAACATTACGAAGAAGTGCCAAATAATTGAAAAAGGGCCCAATTCGACAAACCAGGAACATGGCTTGCAGACGTGAACATTTAACCGACGGCTACCAATCCTTTTGTATTTGGATTTTGACGGGAGAGGAAGGAATCAATATGCGTATTTAAACTTGCGATGCCTTAGAGATTTTTTTTTAAAAAAAATAAAATATTTATAATATTATATCCAACCTGTCACTTACTCATCATTTGAGAGACAGACTTCCTTATCAATGAAATATTGCGAAAACGATGTTTCTTTTCCCCACAAAATAAACAGGTATATATATATATATATATATATATTACCGTTCAAAATCGAAAAATCCTATGCTTTATTTTCTTTGTCAAGAATGGCCGGCAAGCCCATTGCCTCCCTTCATAAAATAACAAGAAAATATCCAGTAAATATTGTTTAAAGAAAGAAGGATGCTTATCTCTAGTTATTTAATCCAGTCCTCTCATTGGAGACGACAGACAATGCAATGAAAATAGGGAAACGAATGAAAAAGACACTCGCAGAAATACTTTAATTTGACGTTGTGAAGAAACGATTGCACGATTCAGAGACATAGTCCAAGTTTTTTATTATTATTATTGTTAGAAAAATAATTATATAATTCAATGACACTCATCTATGCAAAACGAGGTAAATAAAAAATAAAAATCAGAATTTGAATTCGGCGCACATCTTTGTCATCTATAAAATAAAATATGAAATTTTCATTTGCAAACCTAAGCCATCTCTCTCGCTGAAGGTGGGAGAGTGCTGAAAGAACTAGAGTTGACACAATTCATGTAAATGGTGTCCATAGATCGAAATTTTTTACGTTCATAGGGGGGATTTCGGATTTAAACACTCCTGTGACCTTTCTTCGGATTTTTGAAATTTCAAAACTGACATCTCCCTAAGCTAATATTCATGACCACCCTCTCCTCATTCCAAAGGGAAAAAACCAAAAAACAATAATATATTGTAGCATCACAGCACGAAAAAAATATATATTTAAAACAAAGTGTTTAGTGAGTAAATGAGATCTATTAAAGAAACGGGAAAAATGTTATAAAAATGTCTGAAGATAATATTTTTCCTTTTGCATATAACATTTGTCCCTTTTCACATGCACATACAACAATGACAGCAGAGATTCCTTTAGGAAAGTGATAGGACTTTTTTCCTTCGGAAAAAAAAAAAAAAATCTAATGTATGGTTTAAAAGCTATTTCAAATGGCGTTTCGAAAGTTGTTTCAACTAAGCTATAAAATGGAGATTTGAGATTTCAGAATAGTATTTGAATATCAATTTTATTTTTTTCCTTTAACAGTATTTATTATCCAATATTTGTACATGACAGGGAAAGAAAAAAGTCGCTGTAACTATGCATTGAACAAAACAGCTAATGATAATAATTTTCTCTCCTCTTTGCAGGAGTTAGTTTCTCTTCTCGCCTTAATAATTTTTTTTTAATCTATTTTTTATTATTAATATTCATCCGTTATTAATATACTATTTTCTCCACTCTGACCTAAAGAACCTTAAAAGGTAAAGTAATGTTTTATTTTTAAGATAAGAATGATAATGAATCGGGTATAAAATTGATATCTGCTTTATTTGATCCAATAAAACCGGTTAAAAATATTCAATGTGTATTAAAATGAATAAAGGTAAAAAACACATACCGATTAATACGGTTTCAAGATATGAGTATTTATTCTTTATCTTATTAATATCTATTAATTTATTTAGATTTTTTTTTTTGACATGTAGAGATATACTTGTATAAAATTTAAAAATTAAGGATCAAAATATTTTTTTCAAAAACTTTGAAAACCAAAAAAATTTATAAAAAATGACTAAAATGCAAAAAATAAATTTTAAAGACGAAATTTTTTTTTTGAAAAAAAATTATAGGAACTAAAATGAATATGTCTAACAAATTAATTTATGAGATATTAAATGGACGAGTAAACTAATATAAATCGGATATGAACTGAATAAAAATTTATATAATGATTTCTTAATAAATAATGAATAACATATTTCTGTTTACTGCCATCGGTGTAAGATTACACCCTTATAGGTAAAAAGAGTAGAATTGTAAATTGTCATTAATATTAGGTTTTTTCTTTTGCTTTTTTTTTTTTGGTTCACTTCATTGTTAGTATTATATAAATCATCGTTTGAGAAATAATACGTCTTTTACAGCGGACGAAGTGTTTGTATATGTTAATAGACTCAATCACGGCGTCGTGTGCAGATCTGGTATTATTTGTTTAAAATTCACCCCGGTATCTAATTTTGCCATCTCGAAAACTTAAAAAATCGATGACAAAAAGTTTTTTTTTTCATAAAAATAATATTTATTTTCAGGTTCAAGAGATGGTTTGCTAAATTTGTTATCATCAAGATGCTAATGAACAAACATGTGGGCGTGACATCTGCCTCTTTACCAAGTTTTATCTCAATACATCTAGAGCATTAATCATGTTTTTCTCTTCTCCTCCCCGGCTATAAGCCATAATTTAGGAGGATCAGTATAATTAATGGATTCATTATTATGATGTACTGATATTTTTTATTAATAAAATATCTTATATCAGTTTTGACACCAAAAAAAAAAAAAACATTTTTCTCTCCTACACCCGCAAGTATATTAAAGCCAACTTAATTTTCTACCAAATAAATTTCTGAATAGATATAGTTCTACTCAATGAAGTGGCAACACATGATTAGTGATTTATTAGTAAATAATTATCATTGCTTCACTAAGCATAATAAAATTACCATTCCATGATTTAAAAACCTTTTTTCTATAATAAATTCCACATCGCTCAATAAAAAGAAATCTGTGAAAAAATTAATTGCTTCAAGCACTGCCCATCTATATATATATAAAAAAAATTATCTCCTTCACTAACAAACCACAAAGCCCATAGAAATAGGAATGAATCTTTAAAAAACCAAGCCCACAAAAAAATACAAAATAAAGCCCAGATCAGAACAATCTCCAAGCAGCTACTCTACTGAAAAAAGCCTATCAATGTTTAACAAAATAGCCGTTGAAATTCAAAACAAAACAGACACAATAATTGTATACCCTTTATTGATTCCCTTTGACCAAAACACCCCTCTCATTTCAAATCCCAAAACCGCGACAACCCTCAATTTTCAAATCTCCAATCAATCTCCACCGTCCATCAAATGACCCTACCACAGACAAAACTCCAGTTTAAACTCAACTTCACAAATAGAAACAATTCACTTTCACCTCAAATCCCAAAAAACCAGAGACAGAGAGAGAGAATCATGTTCACTTGAATCAAATTCGATTTTATATTTTCATTCTAAGCTGAATCGAAATCTACAGATTCTGTTTTTCCATTCTTTCAGGTAATTCAATTCCAGCTACTGAGCTTTCCTTTTCTTTTTCTTTATAAATCTCGGTTAATCACTAACGAATTGCATTTCGATTTTGCGTTTAGGATGTTGAGAGATTTCAAGTTTCTTCGACGGAATGCGAAGAACAATGAAGAAATCGAGAATGTACCAGTAAACCCTAGAGATTCACTAGCGAGTCAATCAAGTACTGACTCAACTCGGCCACCATTGAATACAATTCAAGACCCAGCTCCAAACCCTAGACATGATAAAACCCCAAAGAAGCTCAAGGTTCGAAACCCTGAGCCTCATCGTACGCCGGACAAGGTGTCTAAGTATCGATTTGGATGGGCTCAGAGGAATGAGTCTAGTAGTGGTAGTGTGATTAGTAATGAATCGCGTGATGAGGTGAGGACTGATTTTAGGGATTTGAGTAAAGGTGGTGGTGGGTTTGGGGGTTTGGGGTCAAATGTGACGCCGAGGGGGAATAAGAGGGCGCATTCGGAGAGTACTTCTACGCAAAGTACGCCGTCGAAGAGTGTTGTTTCCAAGCCGCCTGTGAATTCGGGGTTTAGGGGTGGGAGAGGTGGTGAGGGTGGGCGTGGAGGTAGTGTTGCTGCATTGTACAGAGGGGTTCCCGTTTCGGGTGGTTTGGGAGGGACTACGATTGTTAATAGCGTTGAAGTGCCTCATTTTGATCTGAAGGAGAATCCATCATTCTGGATGGAGCATAATGTACAGGTACTTTGTGGGTCTTTTGGGGGTTTGATTTTGAATGGTGTTTTGTTTGTCTTTGTGTGGTTTAAAAGATGATTTTGTGAAAGAGTTAATGAAATTTTTCCTTTTATTTTTTTGGGATAATGAGAAAGATTTCAAAATGGGTGTCAATTTGTAGAATGATTTGAATTTGGCGTGTTTTAGTACTTTGAAGAAGTTGGATATTGAACTATGTTTTGAAGAAATGAGCGCTTTGCTATTTGTATTCATGCTTGATGAATTTATGTAGGTTCTTATACGTGTACGTCCACTCAATAGCATGGAGAGGAGTATGAATGGTTACAACAGGTGTTTGAAGCAAGAAAGTGCTCAGAGCATCACTTGGATTGGTCAACCAGAAACTCGATTCACATTTGACCACGTAGCATGTGAAACAGTTGATCAGGTCTGGTTAGCTAGAATAAACTAGTTACTTTTACCATCAGTTATGCTCTTTATGTTTTGCAAGTTAAACAATGTTTTAAACTTAAATTTGCAGGAAATGCTTTTTAGAATGGCTGGTCTTCCTATGGTAGAGAATTGCTTGTCTGGTTACAATAGCTGTATGTTTGCCTATGGTCAGGTAATTCTGGGATTATAGATTCCTTTTTGAAGATCACATGATTGGTTCTTTTACTTAGGGTTCTGCTTTGGGAAGGCTTTCTACTAAGTTAAGCATTCATAGTTTTGTTTAGGCTCATATCATGGATAATAAAGCTTGAATGCTATTCTGATTTCTGCATCGTTTGACTCATTTTCATCTTAGTGTAACCAATACTGTTATTTGGTCCTCATTGGTGTTGGATGCGTACAAATGTGTCAAGTATTTGATATACTATGTTGAGAACATATACCTTACACACAGATAGTTTTTCATGCCAGCTCATTGGCTGGGAGAAAGTATCAACATAATGGAAACAGGGAGGTGTAAGATTTCTTACATTGTGTCCCATGTCTTATATGGTATACAAGGAGATTGAATCATCACTTAGCTTTCTGCCTTAACAGCAACTTAGAAACAATTTTACCACTAGGGACTTACCTTTTTTGTCATATTGTTTTGAACACTCTGTGCAAGTGATTAGAGGACTCAGCTTCACTAGGTGCCCTACCAAATACAGAATGAATGGATTACAGACATAGAAGCTGAATTTCCCGATGTTCTTTGAAAATATTGGTAACCCAAGAATCGTTTTCGTGCAAGTAAAACTTGAAATGAATGGGATACATGACCTCTTTTTTTTTTTTTTTTTTTTCAAATCCCTGAATAACTGTAATTTACATAATTTCTTAGTAGTGAGTTTGATCATGCAGACAGGAAGTGGGAAGACATATACAATGCTTGGTGAAATGGACGACTTAGAAATGAAGCCCAGTCCAAATCGTGGAATGACACCACGAATATTTGAATTCTTGTTTGCAAGGATACAAGCTGTAATTTCCACTCTCTTGATATCACCTATTTAGCTTTTCATATGTGCATATCATATATAAATTTTTATCACATGCTTAGTTTGCGTAATAACCAGTGCAATTTTTAAAGTTCATTACATGTTTATCCTACATCTTTTTTATTGCAGGAAGAGGAAATTCGCAAGGATGAAAGACTGAAATACAATTGCAAGTGCTCATTCTTAGAGATTTACAATGAACAAATTACAGACCTCCTTGATCCCTCATCTACCAATTTGCTTGTAAGTTTGGCTCTTTTGCTAGTGAATTAGCTTTAGAACATTTTGAGATTAATTTTAAGCATGTCGCTTCAATACTTGTAGCTGCGGGAGGATGTCAAGAAGGGTGTCTATGTAGAAAATCTCTCAGAATTTGAAGTTCAAACTGTTAGCGATATTTTGAATCTTTTGACCCAGGTTAAAAATCCTTGCTTGTTACTTGTTCAAACTCTCTACCCTCTTTCTGCATGTGTGTTTGCTTTAATGTGATAGCGTGTCCCATGTAGGGTTCCCTGAATAGGAAAGTTGCAGCAACAAATATGAACAGAGAGAGCAGCCGCTCGCATAGTGTATTTACATGTGTAATTGAGAGCAGGTGGGAAAAGGATTCCACAACTAACCTAAGGTTTGCAAGACTAAATCTTGTTGATCTTGCTGGTTCAGAAAGGTGAGCACATTTCTTTCAAAGTTTGTTGAATGATATATATATGCTGCACTTGCATAGCGTCATTCTGAAACATGCTATAATTATCAATTACAGGCAGAAGAGTTCAGGAGCAGAGGGTGAGCGCTTGAAGGAAGCTGCAAACATTAATAAATCGTTGTCCACATTGGGGTAATTCCAAGCTTTACCAAATTTGACCAGCACCTATCCATCATTTTCTAATTATTTGTTTTGATTGTTTTGTTCACTGCTTCTGTCAACATAATGGGTGCTTGCTGAACACTGTTATTTGCAGTCATGTAATTATGATTCTGCTGGATGTGGCTCATGGGAGGTCAAGGCATGTCCCTTATAGGGATTCAAGATTGACCTTCCTTCTTCAGGTCCTTGCTGACTCCAATTTTTTGGTCTTCACTGGTGTTTTTGTCTTTTAGCCATGATGACATGCTTGGTTGTAACTGTCATGCAGGACTCACTTGGTGGAAACTCAAAAACAATGATCATTGCTAATGTTAGCCCTTCTATCTGGTTAGTTCATGTTTATTTTACAGCTTTGCTAGTATTTGATGCATTGGCCACCAATTCACAACAAAGCTTATCAGTTCTCCATCTCTTACGGCGGTCTTACCTTATACAGCTGTGCAGCTGAAACACTTAATACTCTGAAATTTGCTCAGCGAGCAAAACTTATTCAAAACAATGTAAGCAAGCTTGTTTTGATCCTTGATGCACTGCTGTTTCTATGAGGAATCAATCAGTTTGACAATTTTGTGGCTTTTGTCATGGTATAGGCTGTGGTTAATGAAGATTCCACTGGAGATGTCATTGCACTACAGCGTCAGATACGGCTTCTAAAGGTGTGTTACTGAATCGTACAAGTTTTCTTTACTATGAATGCTTCCTTGCACAATTTGTTTGTAATTTAAGTCCCTGGATCATATTTGTGATAGGAGGAGCTCTCAATCCTAAAACGTCAGAATGTCTCCAGGTCGTTGTCATTTGGTTCAAATGGAAAAGATAAAATGCAAGAACAAGGTCAAGCCTCAAGAGAATTCATGTATGACACGGATCAACAGCATGTTGATGATTTGTGTGGAGTTGGAGGCAAAGGCATTGTTAGAATGTCTACTAAGCAGGTAAACCGGGTGACTTTACATTTTGGTAATTTACTAATAATAATGCTATGTATCTGAATGGAATTGGATTGCTTTGTTTTATACAAGATACAATATACATGTGATCGCTTTATATTCTATTGTTGTTTAATTAATTAACTATATCACCTAGGCATCCTTTTAAACGCCTTCTATTATTGTTGACAGTTTTTCATTGCATCCATGCTAAGTTAATTTTAAATGCCGTAGCTGCTATGCTTTTCCTGGATTCCTCCACAATAATATTTAGATGTAGCAAAATTTTATTGTATTGAAAATGGTGCTGAAACAGTTGAAGTCTCTGGAGACTACTCTTGCTGGCGCATTGAGAAGAGAGCAGATGGCTGAGACTTCCATCAAGAAACTTGAAGCTGAAATTGAGCAACTGAACCGTTTGGTATTTCTTTATAATTGATGCAGAGGTGTTTCTTTTTCTCCTCAAAAAATGGAGCTCAGTTATCTAATGCTAACTGCATATCAGGTTCGTCAAAGAGAGGAAGACACCAGGAGCACAAAAATGATGCTCAGATTTCGAGAAGACAAGATCCAAAGAATGGAGTCACTGGTTGGTGGCTTGTTACCTCCCGACACTTATTTGGTGGAAGAGAACCAAGCACTCTCTGAAGAGATTCAATTGATTCAAGACAAAGTAGACAAAAACCCTGAAGTAACTCGCTTCGCATTGGAGAACATAAGGCTGTTAGACCAACTCAGAAGGTAATTTTCTTCGTTTATCAGAACTCCTAAGCTTAAAAGGATGTGCTGATTTTCACTATTTCTTCACTATGGAATTTATAGATTTCAAGAATTCTATGAGGAGGGGGAGAGAGAGATACTCTTGGATGAAGTATCTAAACTGAGAGAACAGGTTTTCGTTGAATTTGAATATTTGATGCAAAATACATTTTTATTTTTGTTTGATCTTTCTTTTTAACCTAAGTAATTATTAAATGCCATATTTTACAGCTTCTTCAATTTCTCGATGGGAAATTTATGCAGCAAAACCTTCCAAATGCCAATGGCCAACCTCAGGTTTGCCTTAGTCATAACCTTCTTCAGTCTTCCAACCTTTTTGTTTTCTCTGTAGGGCAACTCTGTGTCAACGTTACATTGTCTTCAGCTCTTTATTTTCACAACATGGTGATGTAAACTATTTTCTATTGTTTTTTTCCCCTATCAACACAGGAAGCTATGCGCACAAACAAGGAAAACGATTCTCTACACCCAGAGGTTGCTTTGCACTGTCTTGACAAGAATCGGACATTTCTTCTCTTTAAATTTTTTTCATACATGTGACATTTTCTTTTAATTATTTCAGTTGAATAACACCCTCAATGAATTAGAGGAGTGCAGGCGTAATCTAAATTCTTGCTTGGAGGAAAACCAAAAATTAAGCAGGTGAGGAATTCTGACCTTATTGTAGGTCATCAAGAAGTCAGTTTAAAATTCATTACAATTTTTTCTTGGAGCCCAGGATACATTAATTACTGCAGCTACTTTTTTTTTAATTGAAGCACATCTGTTTAATCAACTTTTGCAGAGAAATAAATGATCTACAGTATATGCTAGAAAATCTCAGATCTACAACCCATGTCCGAGACGGTGACATTAAAACAATAAAGGTACTTTCAGCTTTTATAATTACTACTCATCTTTCCAGATATTACACATGCTGGGAAAGGCATTGAAAAAAACAATGCCTGTGGCTCTACTGGATCACCATGTTTGACTAGCAAGTTCCTGCTAAGTAATAAATGCATGTCTTTCATTCTCTCTTCTTCCATGTTTATCATGTGATGACTGGTCATAAACTTGATTTTCAGGATTCCTTAGGAGCTCAAACTTGTGAAACTGTCATGCTTGATGGAGTTCAGAATAAGTTGGAATGCATGGATGCTGCTTCAGTGATGAAACATGCAGAAGGAATCTTGGATTTACAGCTGGAACTTGATATATTGAAGATTATTCTCAAAGAAGAGAGATCAACTCATGAAGACATAAAGGAAAGGTCTATATACTCAACTAGAGAACTTGAGCAGGCAAAAGAACAACTTAACTCTATAACCAAACAATGTGAAGATGCAACTCGTGAACTGAAGGAGGCTAAGTTAGTTGCTGAAGCTCTTGAGTCCCAGCAAATACTAGCAATCAATGAGATGGAAGACTTGAGGAAAAGTAAAATTCATCATGCAAAGCTTTTGAGTGAAAAGGAGCTTGAAATAATGGCTCTGAAGGAGCAAATTTCTGAAAAGGAGTCAAGAGATCTCCCATCCAAGCATTCAGATGGTGAGGACTCAATTTTACTGAAAAAGTTGATGAGGATGCAAGATTCTCTTGAGACGGCCAAAAGATTGAATATTTTGTACCAAAACGATCATGCATTTCAGGCATCTAATGAAGTAGAAATGGACAAAGTTCGTCGGCAGGCTGAAGCTGAAACTGCCGAAGTTATTGTCTGCATGCAGGAAGAGCTTTCCATCCTTCAGAATCAGGTCCATGATTGCTACTTGAAAGAGACAGAGACTAAAAACATTGTAATGCTTTTGGAAACTGAGTTACAAGAGTTGCGGGAAAAGTTGTATGTTTTAACTAAAGAAAACTGTGGCCTAAACAAAATGCTCGAGGGAAAAGATGGGGAGCTGAAAAAGGTATCTGAAGAATGGGAATTGCTGGCATGTGAGGTTGAAGCAGTTCTTGCTGATGGACAAGAGGCAATCACAGATGCCTTTGATCAGCTAGACCTTATTTCTAGTTCCTTCCCTGAGAAGAGGATTTGGATCTCCGAACAAGTTGGCAGGTTGATTAGAATCATATCTGAGAAGGAATTACTAATCGAAGAACTTGGAAAATGTCTAGAGAATGCTAACAATAAACGAAATGATGTAGACTGCATGCTTAAATCTCTGAGAGGAGCAGCACTGGTAATAAATGAAGCACACCAGCAGGAGTGCAACGAAAAGGAGGAAGAAATTCTCTTCTTGAATTCTCAGTTGGCAGCAAAAATATCAACCATTGTGGAGCTGGAGAATAAAGTTAAGTTAGCAGAACGTCGTTCCAGCAAAGCATCAGATTGTGCAACAATTGCTTTTGTAGTTGTGAATAGATTATCAGAAGTGAATCTCATTAATCTTGCTGAGTTAGACAATAAGAACAAGCAACTTAGTGAATCAGCAGCAATTAGCCACAGGAAGGAAGCTCTTCTTCATGATCAAACCACTGCTATCAAAGAAGCCAAGGAAGAGATTCAGTTTTTGAGAATGGAACAAGTGAAGTTGAAGGAGAAGTGTGCTCAACTTCAACAGAGTCTTTCTGAGGAGGAGCAACGCGCTAGTGCCATGGAAGAAAAGCTTGAAGAAATCGAAGAGAACGACATTTTGAAGACAAGGGAGAAATTAGCCGAGCTGAAAACTGGTGTATCATCCCTCAGGTCATGCATGGTCATCCATGGAAAGCATGATAGAAGTCCTGAAATGAATGAAATACAAGGGGATTGCACACTTATTGATGGTGGCAGTGGATGGGTAAGAAAGATACTACTATAACTCTCTGCGTTTAATTTTATTTTATGTCATAGTAGTCTCTAATAGGTGTTTGGTTTAGTAATTGATATATCTCAACATTGTTGCAGACAGATGCTAGAGAGGACTTCAGAGTTGATGTCTCCAAGTGTTCTGCTACAATAGGAAAGAGATCACGGAGCTCTTCCTGTGTTATTAAAGATGAGGAACTCAGAAATTCCAAAGATATCACCGTTATTCTTCTCAAAGGGGAAATAGAGTCTGCTCTTGAAAGCTTGAAAGAGGTTAAAATGGAGATGGCTAATCTACGTGCGGAGAAAGAAGAAATCTGGATGTCTGAAAAACAGAGTCAGGAAAGCATGAAATGTTTCACAACTCAGCTACTTGCTCTTCAGGAAGTTTTTAATAACTTTGAAACGCAATTTGAAATGAAGATAAAAGCTGTTAATCATAAGCTACAGGCTTTTGAACAAATCATCCAAGAAGCTGGGATTCGTTGGCACCAAAACAAAGAGGTAACCTGCTAGATTTTCTGCAGTATATTCTCTGAATTATTTTGCCCCAACTCAGTGCTTGCTTGGGCTTCGTCAAGACAAGTGTGTTGTATCTTTCTAAAAATTTGTATTTACCGATTATGGACTTGCAAAAAGAAAATCAAAATTGTCTGAAATGATAACGCAAACTAAACTATCCAGATCCGTTCATTTTTCATCCCATTGTCTTTACTTTGGTTTTCCCAGTTAGATACAGATGGATTTACATTTTAGGCATTCATTTATATATTTCAGGCCCATATACCTATTCTTTTTTTCTTTTTTTTTCAATAATTCTTTATAGTTCCTTGAGATGGAAGTTGGTGATGCCAAGATAGTTGCAGTACAGAAAATGGCCGAGGCTTCTTGTATTTATGCGAAATTTGAAGAGGCCCAAGATACCATGAAAGAAGCTGATATAATGATCAATGAACTGATGATAGCTAATGAAGCAATGAAGCTTGACATGGAAAAGCTGAAACAAATTGAAGTTACATTAACCAATGAGAGGGATATGCTAGATAATGAGGTTCAGAGCTTGCAATCTCTCAATGTGCTCAAGGATCAGCAATTTGAAGATCTTGAAATGCAGTTTGGCTCAGACTTAATGGAAACAAGGGATCTGGTTTTGCAGCTAGAGGGTGTTGTTTCGCAGGTCCAGACCACTTTCAAGAACTTCACGTCTATGGTGTGTGACTTCCACGGCTTGAAGGCGCTGGTTTTAGACTCTGGAAAATTGGTGCAGTCATGGCTTGAAGATGTTTGGTCTGAGATAATAGTAAAAGATTCTGCTGTCTCAGTACTACACCTGTGTCACATGGGCATTTTGTTAGAAACAGTAACAGGGTTGAATGCAGAAAATGGTTTGCTTCAACACGGCTTGTGTGAATCAAACTCGCTTATAACTGACCTCCGAGAGCGCAATTCTAAGACAAGTGGCGAGCTTCAAACATGCAGAACCCTGAAGGGGAAACTGCTGGCTGACATCAAGAACAGTTTTGATCGGATCTTGAGGAAAGAAGAGGAAACTGGGAGGTTTGGTCTTAAGCTAACTACTTTTGATAAAAAGATCTCTGACCTACAGCTTCAAGAGGAGTTGATGTTACAGAGGTCTAATTACATGGGTTCTCAGCTTGCTATTCTAATGAAGGAGTTGGACTCGAATAACACAAATGTTATTGAATCCCTCTTCAATCAAGAGAAAATGCTGAAAGATACAGAGGAACTTCTGAATTCTCAGACTGAGCTTTTTATGATGGATTTGTGCTCAAAAGACATTGAGGCATTCATCTTAGTATCACAGCTAGAGGAGGTTTCTCTCAGAAAAGTTTTAGCGGAGAGAGAGCATATCAACTGTTGCTCTATCTTTGAGAAATTAAAGAATGAAATAATATTTTCCAATGTAGACGCTGAGTTGAAGGAGCATCTCTTAATGGACAAGGAAGCTGATGTTTTTCTACTGCAAAAAAAAGTTCAAGAGGCACATTGGGAGGTTCAGGATTTATTGTCAAGTCTAAACTCAAGCAATTTAAGACTTGTAGAGATGGATGGAATCAACAGGGCTCTTGAAGAGGAAATTCAACTGCTGAAGGATGTTGCTTGTTCCAATGATAGGTTGAGAGGCGAACTTGGTGATGTCATGACAAGTAAGATGAGATTGTTAAGCCGGATTCAAGAAGTTGAAGCTGAATGCGATGAACTGCAAAAGAATTTGAAGAGCAAGGAAGCAGCTTTGGAAATCTCTTCTAGTCACACTGCTGTCATTAATCAACAAAAGCAAGAATTGCAGAAGAGTGTTTGCCAATTGGAAACATCATCAAGCAAACTTCAAACTGATCTGGAATTGAAAGATGTAGAGCTCAGAAGAATGAATTGGTTGGAAGAGGAAAACAAGTCTCTAAAGGATGAGGTCTTGAATTTGAAGACTGAAAAGAGCTTGGTTCTACAAGACTTGGAGAAAAAGAAATCTGAAGTTAAGTCATCTCTAAGCCAGATGGATATGGAGCATGATAGGCTGCAGGACAGAATTTTCTCTTTGGAGAGTGTCATTGCCAGTCTACAGACGGATATGGAGATAAAAAGTGCAGAGGTAAATGAACTCCAGAACTCTCAATCTCTTGCTACAGCAGATTTATGCTCAAAAAGCCAAGATTTGGAAACTCTTAACTCCAAAGTGAATACATTAAAGGATGAGAACATTCTTTTGAGAAATAAAATTAGGTCTCATAAGAAAGTTTTGCATGAAGCCCTCACTGAGTCAGCTTTGAATGTGGCAAAGTATGCTGATTCCGTGGAAAGTGTACACTCAACCGGTCACAGGTTATTTAACGTAGTGGAGAGAGACTGTTTTATGCTTGCAGATAAAATGTTTCGTGAGATTTGTGAAAATATAGAGGGGACATCTAAGTTCATAAAAGAGATCGAATACTTGGAATGTCGTGCTGCTGAGCTGGTGTCTGACAACATGAGTCTCCAGACAGAGTTATTGAGGAAGGATGATATTCTAAAAGGATTGTTATTTGATCTGAGCCTGTTGCAGGAATCTGCATCTAATAATAAGGATCAAAAGGATACGATCGAGGAAGTGATGTCTTCTATGGAGGCTTTAGAAGATGAGCTGGTTGTGAAATCAAGTGAACTTGAACAGGCTATTGCTCATAATCAGTTGCTTGAAGCTCAGCTGGGGGAGAAGATGGATTTGCTATCTAATCTTGAGTCTGATTTTGCTAAGGAGCGCATGTCCCTAGAAAGGCTTTCTTGTAAAAATCTGGAGCTGAGAGCTCAAATTCAAGAAGCCTTGGCTGCAAAATGTTATCTTGAGGAGGAGTTAACTGAGAAAAGGAATTTGACTGAGAGCTTAGAGACAGAACTCTCACAAACGGGTGATGCTCTTGGAGAAATGAGTGATACTATTGAATCTTTAAAGAGCCATCTGAATGAACTTACTAGTGAGAGAGATCAGCTTCAGCTGGAGATGCATAGTTTAGAAGAAAATCTAGAAAGCACGAAGGCTTGGGCTGAAGAAACTGAAGCTATTGCACTAGAGGCCCAACAGGTGCATTATACTTTCACATAAATGCTAAATAATAAATTATTAACACCAGTTTCATTTTTCCTCATCTTGTGCTGTCAACTTTGATGATAGATAGCTGAATCCAGAAAGATCTATGCTGAGGAAAAAGAAGCAGAGGTGAAGCTACTTGAGAGATCTGTCGAAGAGCTAGAATGCACCATTAATGTGCTAGAAAACAAGGTTAGTTTTCTAATTTTTCATGAAGTTAAAGTAGTTTCCAATTTCAAAATCAGCATCTTATTTACTGCTTGTCAGGTTGACATTCTTAAAGGAGAAGCGGAACGCCAAAGATTGCAGAGAGAAGAGCTTGAAGATGAGCTTCATTCTGTAAAACATCAGATGCAAAATGTTAAAAGTGTTGACACTGACATGAAAAGGTTTGGGTCAATTTTTTTTTTTTTTTTAACAGATTCCAATGTATGCTTGCTTAGATACAGTGATGTTGCTTCAAATTGCCAATATATGATTTTCTTTCATCTACAGGTATTTGGAGGAGAAGGATAAAGGCCTAGAAGAAGCACTGAAGCGTATACAAATACTCGAAAGGAATATATCTGACAAGGATGCAGAGGTAAAGCTCTTTTATTCACCAATATGGTACATTCTTACAAATGTTTAACATTTTTTTTACCATTCAACAGATTTCCCAGTTCAAGGCACATATCGCTGAGCTAAATTTGCATGCTGAAGCACAGGCTAGTGAGTATAAGCAGCAGGTACGCTGGGATTTGAAGTTTTATAGTTCTTCCTTCTCATATTTCTTAAATTTGTATTCTAAGAAATTTTGAAAACAGTTCAAGGCATTGGAAGCCATGGTTGAACAAGTAAAACCTGAGGGCCATATCTCCCATAGCACGAGCTCTTCATCAAACAAGTCAGAGAAAAATGCTGCCAGATCCAGGGGTTCTGGTTCCCCTTTCAAATGCATTGGTTTGGGCTTGGCTCAGCAAATAAAATCTGAGAAGGATGAGGACCTTGCTGCAGCAAGGCTGCATATTGAAGATTTAGAATCCTTAGCAGCTAATCGACAGAAAGAGGTAGGCTTTACCTTCCAAATGTAAATCCAACTTGATGTCTGTGTCAGATGATGTATCATTAACATGTGTTCTTTTTGCAGATATTTGCCTTAAATGCCAGATTGGCTGCTGCTGAGAGCATGACCCATGATGTAATCCGAGATTTGCTAGGAGTAAAACTGGATATGACAACTTATGTGGTAAGTTTATGTGGTTCTGCACTACTCTTTTGTTTTTGTTTGTTTTTTGGTAATCACTACTAAATTGTTTAATCATGAATGTTGGTAATTCAGACCATATATAGAATGGAGACTATGTGTGTCCTTTTTTTGTTTCTTTTTGCTATATACATGATAATGTCAGGTGATGTGCATTGACATTAAGCTGTTTCTGTAGAAGAAAAAAGAAGCCAAACGTAAAGAGAAAGGAGTATTTTTTGTGAATGTGTGTGTTAATGTAACTTTGTGTTAATGGCAGTCACTGTTAGATGATAAACAAGCGCAGAAGATTGCAGAAAAGGCACAACTTGGTACCTTGATGCCTCAAGTAAAGGTACTTTTTGCTTTGGTATTTTACCTTGAAAACCCACGTTTTTTTTCTTAATCATTTCTACTTTCCATATAGGAGGAGGAAGTTATCAAGCTTAAGCAGCAGCTCAATGAATTTATTAATGAGAGGCGAGGGTAAGTATCCTTTGCTTCAAAGTTCTAACCTGCCAATATTGGCTGGCACTTTGTCCACTTAAATTTCAGCAGTTTTATGTATTTTCTTTCACGTTTTGTTTTCTAGTTGGCTAGAGGAAATTGATCGTAAACAGGCTGAGCTGGTTTCTGCCCAAATAGCACTGGAAAAGCTTCATCAGCAGGATCAGTTACTTCAAACTGAAAATGAAATGTTGAAGGTAAAATCCAAAGTGCCTTGTAGTTTTTCTTTTCAGTGGATTCCCCTCTATTCTTTGTCTTGGTATCTTTTATTTATTTCCTGTATTCTGTTTAGATGGCGAATGTAAATCATAAGAAGAAGGTGATGGAACTTGAGGGAGAGGTAAAGAAGCTGTCTGGTCAGCAAAATATCCAGCAGCGTATCCATCATCACGCAAAAATCAAGGCAAGATATTCTATAAATCTGTTCTGATTACGTAGAAAATATGCTGAACTTCAGAGAAGTTTGGATCTATTAACTTGCACAAAAATTTTAAATTTATCTGAAGTTGATGTGTTGTAATGCAATAGGAAGAGAACAATTCACTTAAAATTCAGAATGAGGACCTGAGTGCTAAGCTGCGGCGAGTGGAGATCAATCTTTCACGTGTCAAAGAAGAGCTTGCCCATTGTCGTGCTTCAATAGGGAAAAGTCCATATATAGATTTTGATGGGGAACAAAGGTTAATGAACAAATTGAAGGTTAGTGCTAGTAGAGAAAACACGTGCCGATAATTTTGATACATGGCTAATAGTGATGGCTTTTAATGGCTAATTGAATCCATACAGGAAACTGAAGATGACAAGGTACAATTAGCACAGAAATTACTGGGCGTGTGTACTAGCATTCTGAAGGTATGTGCGTATCCTTGATTAGCTACTTGGTATTGATGGCTTTTAATGGCTATAAACATTTCTCTTTCGATGGAAAATTTCAGGCAGCTGGAATAACAAAACCTATATCTAGTATAACCCCAGCTATTGCTGAAGAGGCACTTGAGCAGCTAAAAAACAGACTTGCTTCGTTGGAAAGAGAACTGCAAGATTTGACATTTAAGGTAAAGAATGTAAAAATCATAATACCATAAATGAAATTATTTCTTTCCCCTTTCTACATTATGGATTTCTGCTCCTAAACAAGTTCTTAGCACTGACAACTACACAAAAACAGATGACCTCCCCCATAAACTGATATAGTTGCAAACTCCTCTGCAGAATAAGATTACCAATGAAAGGATGCGATTGTCTGAGCTATTGCCCCAAACTTCACCGATAAACTCGAGGACAAATGACAGCCGTCAAACTCCAAGAAAGGGCCAAGTTCCATTTTTTTCTGCCTTGGACAGATAGCAAGAAAGATTTCTCCACCGACAATTATACAGCAAATACAAGCCAAGCTCATGTGTGTGTGTGTATTTGTACTTTTACTTTGGTGTTTATTTGATTGGGCTGTACATAACTACTTGTCTTTTTTTTTGTTAAGCTTGTATATCGATTCTTTTGCTGTAAAATTTAAAATGCAGAGAAGGCAAGATGACAAACAAAGATTTCTGCTTGTATATTTTTTTGGCCCCTTTATCTTAAAAAATTCTGCTCTTATAGGATCTTAAACTTTTTATTTTTTTAAAAAAATGTGAAGATGAAAATTCAATTAAAAGAAAAAAAAACTTTAATACTCGAGCGAAGATGGAAGCATATGAGATTTGCATTAATGTGATGTCATTTTCGTTCCTATATTTCTATGATTCTATCCCCATGCATCTTCATTCCAACTGTTTGATTTCAATAACCAAACAAGGCTTAAGAGTAGTTTTATTTTTTCCTTGAACTTGAAGAGTCATGGTGATGAGTTTTCTTGGAAAATAATTCATTGCATGCTTTATTTTTTCCTAACGTTTTTCAAATCACTTAAAAACTTGGTTGTTTGAACTTCAAGAACTGTTAAAAGTTATAGATGAAACCGACTTACTATATTACACCATGTTGAAGTTTTCTAAAATAATTTAATTCAAACAAAACCGAATAAGCATTTAATTAATTCCACATTGCACCCCTTATAAATTAAACACACGCTTCATGACCATCCAAAACCAATCAAAAAGAATTTTTTAGTATATCCACCATGGCTAGTCTAAGCAACTTCTCATTCCTTGTGCTTTTGTTATTGGGAACAAGGTTAATTGCCATTGCAACTGGGGGTGACCATGTTGATATTGCAATTCCACCAGGTTCCAGTATTATTGAAGCAGTTGTGGATGACTACGTTGATATCGCACCTGTATCTACTGAAGTTAATGAAGCTGATGACGATGAGGTTGAGGTCCCAGTCCCAACACCAGAAGGGTCTCCACAGGACCTTCTCCTTTTGGAAGGTTGTTGGGAAAGACTTGTGCCCAAGTGTAGACAGGAAGCAATGAAAGCCATATTTGAGGATGGAAATAGTATTAGCCGGGACTGTTGTTTTGGTCTGCGTGAAGAATTGGGAAAAGAGTGTCATGATGCCTTGGTGAAATATGCTGCTCCAAGACTACCTGTTAAGTATAATTTTGATTATTACGTTAAAAGAGGCCAGCAAGAATGCGATCGCTGTGAAGAAGTAACCCAATACTCATTTTAATTTCCTCCCTCAGGTTTTCAGAATTTCATCCTATTTTTTTTTTTTCAATGTTCCTCGTGAGCTTCCAAATGCCTATTAAAAAAGTTTAAACAACCCTTCTTTTTGGAAATTTATGGAACCAGTTATTATTGTTATTTCAACACTTCAAATATATGTGTGTATGTGTTGCAATTAAAATTGCATAATACAAAAATACCACAACAATATCTGTGATAAGAAACATTATATTAACACTTTCTTGTACCTAAAAAAAGCAACCACGACTCAGTTTTTATTTGCGAGAAAAGAATTTGGAGGATTTGGCAAGGCCGTTGATGAACACGAAGGCCCAAAAGGTTCTTTGTGTAAAAATCTATTGTAAGTTTATTAAAAAAATTAATTGTAATTCAATAATTGATTTATTATTTATTCTCATCTTATATAAATATAACGATATTTGAGTATTTGGTACGAGAGGAAAAATAAAATAGCAATTTTTTATATTAAGAACTTGTGTTTTGTTTTTAAAAAGTTTTCAAATACAATTCTCTTTCAGAAACACGATCGAACATCTCCATGGGCCTATGCATTGCAAATGCATGCTTGCATATGACCGGTTGTCGTAATTTGAAAGGTAAATCGTGTCGTGTTTAATCCATTACACCAATAAATACTACTTGATTTATTCTTAAAAACAATGAATACAAGGTCAACATATAAGTCTATTCTATTTTTCTACTGATATTTTTATTTATTCTATACTATTTTGTTTTTTTTTATTAATACCTTCTACAATTTATTTATTAGCAAAGTTAGAAATTGAAAATATTTTTTTATTATATCTTGTTATAAAAAAATTCACTACTTTCTTGCAAAACTAGAAGAAATAAAAAGAGTCTCGTTGTCTATTATAATATATGGATAGTTTTATAATTAAAAAATTATGTTTTTTTCATGTCATTTTAAAATTTAAGTTAGTTTAACTTATGTGATGAAATAAGAATGATCGGAGAATCAAAACATAATTATGATATGTTGGGATATCTTATACGTAACAAAATATAATTATAAATTAAAATACAAATATGATAATAAATAATCTAATATTGTTTTCGAAGGTAGACTTCGATCACATATATTTAGTAGCTATACATCTACAATTGAAAAACCTTGCAAGCAATTTGAGAAATATGACTTTATAAATCATCGGATGTCCGAAACTAATATTTAATATTTAATATTACAAAGTTATTGTGTATTTTTCTACCAAGATTAATTATTTCATTATTATAATCTTTAACGAGTCATTTATTTAAAAATAATCTATTTATATTATGTGAACAGAATTTTATGCGTAGTCCCACTAACTTTTAGTGCAATAATATGGCATTAGAATTAATTTTTATTTGAAAAAGTAATCTTTAATTATATGTAATATAAATAGAAATTAGCAGTATAGGTATAAATAAAAAAATCCATGAACCTTTACTTCAACAAAAGTTTTTTTTTAATTATTAGTATTTAGACAAGTTTGTCGAAATAAACAATAGAAATTTTGTGGATCATTTTGTCCAAGTAAGTAAAAAGTAATATAACACAATAACAAAATAAAAATCCTTTAAAAAATAAAGATCTAATATAATAATTTAATGAACGTTGATGTAGTTTTATTATTTTTTAGATCTTAATATTATTGGTGTTTTTGGTTTTATTATTTTTTATTTTATATATAGTTATGGATATTTAAATTCCCATGCTTACTCAACGCTGTATCCTTCAAACAAGGAATTATACTTTCCATTGTTTATTAAGTGATGCATGTCCAATATTTTTTTTAAAAAAAAGAAGAGGGGTTTTTCTTATATTTAATGTTATATTATTTTTTCTTAAAAAGATCTATATATAATTACAAGTCTAATTATTATTATTTAAAGAAATATATAAGAGAAGGCAAATTATAGAATTGCAAGGACCATCGAGAATCACTGAACTGAGAATTACACTCTCTCTCTCTCTCTCTCTCTCTCTCTCTCTATTTCTTAAAACTAGAATGGATGAGGCATTGCTCTCGAAAAAAAAAAAAAAAAAAAAGCAAAATCTTATGACAGACATCATATCGCGAACCCCAATTAATGGAAAATATAAATGAAGGCCAAAGAATCAATGAAAAAATTTAAAACTTTAGATTAGCTTCCAACTTAAAATAACGATAATAACCAAGTTGAGGAATAATGGTTAAATTGACAAGACCAAATACATCACTGAGTCGATCCACGGCAACTTTAGTGTAAGTTCCATTATGACCTTTTTTTAAAAAAAATTATTATTATTATTAAAAAGAAAAGAAGAAGAAAAGAGCTCCTGTGTTCTCTTACAGTCCTACTCTGCTAGCCAATTCTGACCCTAGACAAGGAAGGAAGAACAAAATAATTCAAGGCGGCTCTTCTCTTATTATATTCCTTTTTCTTTTTGGACAATCATATTACTCCACATTCTTTGTTAAAAGCCCTTTTCATTTTTATTTCTGTTGTCTTTAGGGTTTTTGGCATATTTGGTTCTTTTTTGGTAAAAAATAAACAAACTTTCTTTCACTTACACCAGCAGTTAAACTCTCCCTGTTTTTATTCCATTCTCAAAAGCAACCTCAGATTTCATATCGTCAAAGCATCCAATTCCTGAGGTAAAAATCCCCTTAATTTCTATTGGTGCTACCTCTATATAAATGCAATTGTCTTATAATGTCGAATTGTTTTTGTAGAATTTAATTGAGAAATTAAATAATGAGTGCTGCAACTTTTAGTTCTACCTGCTTCTTAAAGGTAAGAACTTCATCTTTTTATTGCAAAAGTTTGAAACTTTAGTAGAAAGAGAGGTGTTTGCTTGTTGAGAATTAGTATAGACTCTGACTTTATGTTGTATTTTGAACTAATTTTTTTGAATGAATTCAGGGTAGTGAATTGAAAGTTTCAAACTTGAAGAAGAAATATGGAAATTGCAAGCTACGCGTTGGTGGGTCTACTGCATTGTCCACAAAAAGATTGCAGATTTCAAATTCTAAGCAGGAGAAGCAAGTTCGTGTTGCCCTTCTTGGCGCCAGTGGCTATACTGGTGCAGAGGTTTGTGGGTTTTTTTGCTTGTGTGTTTTGTGATCTGTGTTATCAATTACCGATAGAGAAGTGAAATTAATGTTTTTTTTTTCCTTTTTTTTTTTTTTTAATGGCAGATTATTAGACTTCTTGCAAACCATCCATACTTTGGCATTACTGTGATGACAGCTGATAGAAATGCTGGGAAGTCAATGGATTCAGTATTTCCTCATTTCATCACACAAGAGGTACGTCCTATTTCCCCATACATTAATGAGTATTAGAAAAGATTTTGAGGGGATTTTAGTCGTGTTTGCATTTGGTTGAATAAGGGGTTCCTGAGCAGCTCTGGTTATAGCGAAACTGAATCTATTGTTTGATATGCCAAACTGAAAAATGTTTTGAAATGCTACTAGCAGTTTTCTCTTTTGGAAGGTATGCTTGAATTGAATCCGTTGTGCTTTGCAGGATTTGCCAGTTTTGGTTTCTACGAGTGATGCAGATTTTTCTGATGTTGATGCCGTTTTCTGTTGCCTGCCTCATGGAACAACACAGGTACATTCTTTTTCATGTACTTATTTTAATCCATTCAACAATTAGTTTCAGTTTACCTTCTGCATAGGGCATTTTGTTTGCCAAGTCTCTTTATATCAACGGATGTTTGATCCGTGTGCTATTTTCTGCAGGAAATCATCAAAGGTCTTCCCAAGGGATTAAAGATTGTTGATCTTTCTGCGGTATGCTTTTGTTCTTTCAGTTTGTCTTCCTGTATGTTATCTTGTTTAAGCCATCATGTGGTAATTGGAAAATTTAGAATTTGCTAATGTCAAGTATTATCTTGTAATATGTTTAGGACTTCCGATTACAAGATATTTCGGAGTATGAACAATGGTATGGCCAGCCTCACAGAGCACCTGATTTGCAGGTAAAGTACCAGGAATCTTTCTCCTTTCTCAAAACGTCGCTGTAGCCCCATGAAGGAAGTATTAGCTGTTTTCTGGTCCTATATATCAATCATCTTTTGTGGAAAGGTTGCATTTATTATTTTTTCTCCTTAGAAAAGTTCCTTACACTAATGAGTCCTCTTGATGGATTTAGGAAGAAGCTGTTTATGGTTTGACAGAAATTTTGAGGGAGGAAATAAAAAGTGCACGTCTTGTTGCTAATCCTGGTTGTTATCCAACATCAATTCAGCTTCCTTTAGTTCCATTGATAAAGGTTTGTGTCACTGTGATTACTTTGATTTCGTCCTGCATATATTTTTGGCCGAAGGAATGTACAGTTGTTGCCTTATGATTCTTTCAAGTTAGCTAGTTTTATTAAGTTTGAGTACAACTTTAACGTCATTATTTTCTGAAATTTTCAGGCTAATCTCATTGAACATAAAAATATCATCATTGATGCAAAATCTGGTGTGAGTGGAGCAGGTGTGGATTTCATGGCATTTCTTATATGTTGATGCTCATTCTTAGCAACACTATGTTTCAATTTCTACTTGCATCAATTTCTTCAGTAGTTTCTGATGTTTGGTGAACTGTGCAGGACGAGGTGCTAAGGTGGCAAATTTGTACACTGAATTAACTGAAGGCATCATGTCGTATGGTGTTACAAAGCATCGTCATGGTGAATCTCAATCTCAGAGATTGATTTTTATGCTTGCTTCATGCAATTTTTTTGCCCTGAGCACGAGGCAAAAGGTTTTAATTTCACTTATTATACTTTGTTGCATCATGAGGCAATAATATGGATTCTGGCTTTGAATTACAGTTCCAGAAATTGAACAGGGGTTATCTAATGCTGCACATTCTAAAGTAACCATCAGTTTCACTCCGCACTTAATGCCAATGGTAACAATTGCACCCAATTATATTTTAAGTAATCCTTTCTTACAAAAGAATCCAGTCCATATTGTTTATTCTTCTGTTCTTTAGAGCCGTGGTATGCAATCATCTATCTATGTGGAAATGGCTTCAGGGGTGACAACTGAGGATTTATACCAGCAATTGAAAGTTTCTTACCAGGTATGTATTTTCTTTTTTAATGTTGTGATTGGTTATGCACATGTTCTACTTTATGTACGATGACACGTTAATGATATCACTTGGAATACGATCAATGCTTTGACCTGAAATATGTGGATGGAATGATTTCTGCACATTCCTTTTATGGAAAAACCGCATCAATACTTGAGTCAGATAAAATGGAAGTTAATTGTCTAGCTATAATCAGGTTTCTGAACCCTTTGTCATGTTTGAGTCATTAGCTCTTTCTATAACTTTAACCTTTATTGCAGGATGAAGAATTTGTAAAATTGTTGGAAAAAGGAGTTGTTCCTCGCACTCATGATGTTCGAGGCTCTAATTATTGTTATATGAATGTATTTCCTGATCGAATTCCTGGCAGAGCAATAATTATATCAGTTGTATGTATCATCCCCTCTGCCATTGAACTTAACTTTCTCCATCTTTTCATATACTGTTGTTTTCTTCAATTCTGACTAGCTTATCTCTGAAACCTGGATCCAGATTGATAATCTTGTGAAGGGAGCTTCTGGTCAAGCTCTACAAAATCTAAACATAATGATGGGATTTCCAGAAAATACTGGGCTTGGTTACCTGCCATTGTTTCCTTGAGACTTCTTTACTTCTCTTGTTGACAGAAACATGTAAGCAATTCATCCTCTACTGTATGTATGCGTTTTGGATACTCTAATCAAAGTTTATCAGTTTTATTCTTTATGTCCATGCTAATGAATAATTGGTTGCTGTGGCACATCGCAGCATCACAGGAATTTCTTTCTATTGTTTCTTTTGCAGCGTACTATATTTGTTAACAGCATAATTATATGATATCCTGGTATCTAGGATCATGTTCTTTAAATGCGCACTATAACCTGAGGTTGATATCTGGTTGATGACTTTTAATGTGGTTTGTCGATTTCCACCTTTTGCAGAGGTTAATGTGGAGTGTAATTTTGTTTTCAGGAGTTTCCTACACTCTAGAAGAGATCGAGAGAAACATGTACTATCAATCAGTTCAATAATTAATAAGATTTCATCGTGAAATCATAGGTGCAGTTAGATGATGAGTTAGCTGATTAAGTAGAGGCCCGATTGTCCAGGATGTGCTTGTTCTGATATTGTAACTTCACTATTTTTCGTGTTGTAATTTTTATTTACAATAAGAATTTACTTTGTTGAAGCTCCCTGATAGAAGGGGAAGATGAGTCGAACCTGTTTCAGGATTTTGTTTGTATGAGTTTATGATTGATCACAAGCGTAGTAGTCCTGTTTTGCATTATTTTACCCTGAACGAGGTAGTGTTTAAGTTTTAAGCCTGCCATGTTTATTGAAGCATTAACCATGCACGAGAAAATAAAATTGTCATGATCATTTTGAACTGGAATTCGATGGGTGCACAATCTTCTCACTTTTTCTTCAATGTTAGGAGCACGGACAACTATAACCGGATCTATACGCATCTTGGATCGTATCTTAACAAAAGAAAGAAAGAATAATCTTAAACATTAAGAAAAAAATTTTAAAAATATAAATGAACTGTTGAATTAATGTGTGGATTTCATTTTAAGATCATGATAATCGCCTCATGTTTCTTTTTTATTTGTTAAATTTTTTTTAGCATTTTTGAAAAAGAAAACATCCTCAAAAAGTACGGTAATTCTGTCTTAGCGAACATAAGAAAGTGATTGGCGGTACTAAGTTATGCGTGTTTCCAAACATAAACTCGGTGGTACCGGATGATAGCTCCCACTCCTTAAACCCTCTCACTCTGCAACTACCTCTTCTTTTTTACTGTAAACTCCCAAAAATCTTTGAAGGGTCTCAAAAACATATCTTTCTTCAATTCAAGAATGAGACTTTAGAACATAACCATCAATTAGAAACACAAGGGTCTTGTTAAAGACTCTCAAAAAATGGCAACGACAATAACATATCCTTCACATCTGTTATCTGCATCCTCTCATCTGCAAACCAGAACAACTACAACTGCCCTTAGACTTCAATCTCCTTCCACTCAAGGACGTGAGGTAAAAATTTTGTTTCTTTGAGCTTTGTTTTGTATTATCTCGGTGTCTTTTGAATGTGTTTTTAAGGGTTTATATGCTATGTGGCTGGTTTTGTTTGATAGAAGAAGATGATTTAGGAAATGGGTCTTCGAATTTTGAGCTAAATAATGGTTACCGTAGCGGATTAAAGATGGTTTCTTTGGTTAAATGAGATAATTATGGTTTTGATATTCTTGTGTGGGGAGTTTTGTATTGATTATGAGGGTGTTTGTTGTTTTGTTTTCTTTAGTAAGGATATGTTGGGTTAATGGTCCAAAACTAATTCTTTTCGAACCTGCAAGGAAATGTTTTTCCTTTTGCATTCTTTGTAGAAAAAACGGGACTGTATAGGATAAACCCAAAATTCTAAAATGAATGGTTGTTTGAGATATGAATTTTCTGCCTAAATTTTAGGTTTTGGATAGATATTATTGGCTATCTTGCTTCTGTTTGTCTGCCTAGCAAGAAGTTGGTGCAGATTTTAATTGAATTGTAATGGAATAGTGACCTTTTGAATTCATTGCAGTTTCAATTCTCATCTTTAATCAGTTCTCATCTTTTATTTGATTAAGAAGGTTGATAAGAATCAATGTTTTCTTTTTATTTTTAAAAACGTGGGCACTGATTTTCTGTAACAATATTGCAGGCTCTGTTTTTTTTTTTTTTTGCCCCTTTGAACATTAGATGTCAATATGATGTATCTATTGGTAGAGTAATGATTCTTGATTTAGCAGACAGTTAATTCTAGATTCCAATTATTTAGGAAAAGTCGTATTTCATACATCAATATGACCAGTGTTATATTGTCATTTTTTCTTTTGATTCATAACTATTTTCCAGTTGAAGAAGTTGATCTTGCCATAGGGAAAAATGCTGGTATGTCTAAGAAGTTGTATCTTAAATGGGAAACTGGCAACTCAGATGAGGGATATGTACTAGATTGCTGGCCTATTTTTGTTAATATGTTGTTTGTATTTTACTGAAGTATTTACACCCTGATTTTATAGACGAGCAGAAAGTCCTAGGAATGCTTAAGAAACAGATATTTATGATCCTGTTCACTTCAAATTTCTTACTCTCACTGAGCAAATATATCTGTCTTCTTTGGTCACTAAGCATATTTTTTTTTTTTTTTTGTAGCAGAGGTCAACACATTATCTCAAGGCACGTAGCACTCATTTGGGTGCTAAACTAAATGGGGTCTTTCAGAAGACTCGGCTCAACATCTCTTGTGCAATAAACATGGCTGCTGGACAGTCAGGTGATCCTGAGAAGATAAATTTTGATTATCTAATGAACAAGGCAAGAAAAATCTGGGACAGTTCTCCTCAACCAGTCAAGAGCTTCCCCTGGATCAGAGCATTGGAGAACTTCATTCAACTCGTCCTTGACCTGTTTGTGACGGTTGTCAAATATTTGTGTGTGCCTTTACTTGCAGTGTCCTCCCTTAGCGAGATGTCATATTGTGCGCATCAGAAGAAGCTTTTCCTTGTCCCATTTCCACTGCTCATTGGCATCGTTGTTGCTGGGGTCTTAAAGGAAACTGCCCTAGAACTATCTCCGCTTCTCAAGGTAGATCTGTTAATGAAGTCTGAATTTTTCACTTAGGAAATGTTAGACCTCTATTGATTATCCAAATTAAGTAGGACATGCAATTATTTGAGTTTTTTGTTTGTAAGTTCCCCCACACTCGCTCAAATATTATATTGCCAGATTTTTTATTATGAATGGAGATGCATAAGGAGCAACTGGTTCCCTCTCTAAAGATGGATCCCATCTAGAATGCATCCCATAACCCCAAAGGAGGACCAATGAAATTGACTTCAATAGGCTCTCTTTTTTCCCCCCTTTCTTTTCTCTGTGTGTGTTCAAAACACAATTTGCATGTTTCTGTTTGAATGCCCCTTTTTATGCTGGCGAGGCCAATCAGCCACCCTTTGGTGCTACTTCCGAGCACCTTTGAGCTATTTTTTTCCTTTTTGAGTTTATGAAGTTTTATCCATTTGAAGGAAATGAAGTTTTGATGGTCTAATTTGTCATCTGAATATGTTGGCAGGATGCGGAAGTTCCATGGCATTTGATTGCCACTGCAATCTTCTTCACATTGATCAAATTGCCAGGTCCTTATTACCCATATTGGGGGCGCCTGTTTATTCCACACTTTGCCAATGGAGTGTTATGGAGGACTCTGTTCTTTGCATTTTCATTTATATGATATAAAAGACCCAGAAGGGCAGTAGGATCAACAATGTGAGAGATTTTAGTAAAGAGATAATTATAAATTTGGTGTGTGAATTTTTTAATTTTTTATGTTTAATCGCTCTTTTTTATATTTTTGCTATTGAATGTGTGAACTTTCAACTTTTTTTAAATTAGATTTTTTGTCAGTTTTTGTTAAATATATGCTAACGTAATTATTAAATTGATACGTTATATGTTGATATGTATGTCTTTCTAATTAAGTGTGTGTGTGTGTTTTTTTTTTTTTGGTTAAATGTTTCTAATTTTAAAAGCATGCAGATGCCCATTTTGTACATCTACATAGATATTTGATGAAGTCAAATAAAATTAAGAACTGAAACAACAATGCAGTAAATAACAATTTATTCAAATTAAAAGAAAAGAAGAATAAAAGGTCACTCTCTACTGCTTGGTTATTTATATATTTTTTGATCCTTTCCTACGTGCATGAGCATAGATTATATAGTGTAGGCTTGTCTTCTGTTTTCCCTTGGTTGGAGTGTGCTGCCTTGCGTTTCAGTCAATTAGCTTAATTATTTGCCTTTGCTTGCAAGCTTGGTTTGTTGGTTTCTCTAGTTCTGAGGTGTGATCTTGCACGGTCATGGATTCAACATTTTTGGTATCTCATTTGTTTTTGGCTTGACGACTCTTCTCTTCTGGTGCACTCTATTGCTATATGCTTTGATCTTTTCTAATTTCAGTTGCTGCCTCTAATTTGTTGTGAATAATAATAATAATTTATAGTGTCCGGATTGGGTGATTGGAGTTGAACAATTACAAGAAAATTTAATGGAAAAACAATAAATGATGTATACAAAATTATATAAAAATTTAACTTTATTTGACAAAATAATTACACCTATGAATGAAGATGGATCAAAGTATTCATTACAAAAGATTATTAATGCAAGCGGGAACAAGTCAAAACGTTCAAATTCAAACTCTTAACAATCGTGTTCTTTAACTCTCCGTAAAACGACAATATTCAACTAATGAGTAATCAAAGCTTATTTATTTATTGTTAAGATTAGAAAGAGAATTAAAAAAAAAAAAAAAAAAAAGGAAGTTCCATAAATGACTGAAGGTATATGAACAATAGTTTCATTAAAAACTGCAATGTGTCTCTAATTTTTGTCCTACATGCATGCATTTGATGAGAATAGACATTAGACGAAAAGTATTGTACTCCCCCTTTATTCCTTTATTATATCCTAGTGATAGTCAGGTACTCGTCTATATCTTATTTACTCATTCATGTAATACTTATTAAATAGCGAATAAAAATAATGTCCTCATATTTCATTTTACTCTTTGCAATTTTTAAAA